ATGCCAAATACAAAATGGAAAAGAAGCAGGTAGTTGCCTAGGATCTGAACCATATTCTGGAATTTATGCTTCTCATATTTTCCGGTGTATTCATCCTCATTTATCTCTTCATTTTTATGTTTGGCAAGGTGTTTTTTAAAATTCCAACCATGCTAAGGGAAATGAGCAGAAGTGATTTTGTTTCATTCTGCCTGAGAGGATTAGAACGAGATGGGTGCTCTCCTGGTGCCAGTTTGTTGGTGCAGAAGTAATAAGGAAATTCCTCAAAACTCAGAGGCACAGATTGGTCCTTATCTGCAAATCTTTCCAAATGGAGAGTATTTATTTTATTCTTTCCCCAAATTACATAACTAATTTGCATTCACTGTAGAAGGGTTTGACAATATTTTTAAAAATTAAATCATTTCTAACCTCCCCACCTAGTTGACATTTTAAAGTATACATTTACAGATATATTTGTGTATATTTGCATATGGGTAAATGTTTCAAAAACTAGGATCACATTAACGTAATCTTTTGTAATCTTTTTGTATTTAAAAAAGAGGTGGACTTCTTTTTCGTGTCAATAAATGTCTACTCCTGTGGTTCTCAAATGACCATGCCTGAGAAGAGCTTGATCAACCAACTGAAGTTCTCCATACAACATGGGTTGTTGGTCTCCAATCACTCAGTCTCTGCTTCAGTAGTTCTTGGATGAGGGGCAAGAATTTACATTTCTAACAAGTTGAAGTTGGTGATACTGGTCTGGAGAACATGTTTTGAAAACTATGATCTACATCATCCCATTAATGGTTGCTGAATACTTCATCATGGGAATGAGTTTTTTTTAGCTCTTGCCCTCCATTTGAATGTTTAGATTATTTCACATATTAACCATGCTCGAATAAACATTTGTATAGCTACATCTGTGCCTTATTCTTATGAAACACCAGTTTCCTCATATTGAACTCTAAGAAAGCTAAAACCCTGAAAATTCTCATTTCCAGGAAATGGTAAAGAAAGAAGTAATTAAAAGGCTCCTGGTCTAGGATTATTTAGAATCCAGTATATTTATTAAATTGCCTGGGCTTGTAGGACTAATATAATAGCAAATGGGAGGAAAGATCTGCCTATAGAATGCTGATTAATTTCTCATAGCCCTACCACAAGTGAAACTGCTTGATAAGGGGAAGTGCTTTATTTACTACTCATTGTGAGATGTGGCCCCAGTGGGTTGAGGAATAAAAAATTCAAGCCATACAAGAAAAGAAAAGATGACAAGTAATTGTTGACCCTGCTCATGGATTAGAAGAATTAACATTATTAAAATGTCTATCCAACCAAAAGCAATATACAGATTCAACATTATTCCAATAAAAATCTCAATGACATTCTTCAAAGAAACAGAGCAAATACTGATGAAATTCATATGGAACCACAAAAAAAAAAAAAAAAACCACACCAAAAAACACAAATAGCCAAAGCCCTACTGATGAAAACAAAGGAGAAAGGAGGTATCACACTTCCAAACTTCAAGCTATACTACAAAGCCATAATAATTAAAACAGTTTGATATTGGAACAAAACAGACACACAGACCATTGGAGCCGAATAGAGAGCCCAGAAATAAAACCACACTTATATGGACAACTGATCTTTGACAGAGGAGCAAAGAATATCCAATGGAACAGAGACAGTTTGTTCAATAAATGGTGCTAGGAAAACTGGACCACCACCTTTCACCATGCACAAAAATCAACTCAAAATGGATAAAAGAACTGGACATAAGACCTGAAACCATAAAATATATAGAAGAAAATGTAGATATAACACTACAAGATATACACCGCAATAACATCTGTAAAGGCTCATTACCCAAAGCAAAGAAAGTCAAGGATAAGATAAACACCTGGGATTACATCAAACTGAAAAGTGTTTGCACAGCAAAAGAGACATTAACCAAAACAGAGAGATACCCACTGATTGGGAAAAAATCTTTGCACTTCAGTCAACTGATCACAAAGATATACAGAGAACTCACACAACGCAACAAAAACAAAATGAACAATCCAATCAAGAAATGGGCAGAAGAGGGCCTCCCCGGTGGCGCAGCGGTTGAGCGCTGGGTTGCGAAGCTGCCTGCAGCCTCTGCAGTGCCGGTTCGATCCCGGCTGCTCCCCGGCCACTGGAGGAGGGTCCCACATGGCGCGCAGACCTCTCCTGCCGCCCACTGCTCCCCTCAGCAGTGTACTTTGGTCCTTCTGCCTGCTCTGCTCCCCGCTCTGGCTCTGGTGAATTCTCTCACCCTCCCGCGCTTCTGACTGTACCCAGTGCTTGTACAAATAAACAAACAAATAAATAAATCTTTAAAAAAAAAAAAAAAAAAAGAAATGGGCAAAAGAACTTAAAAGACATTTCTCCGAAGAGGAAATGCAAATGGCCAACAGACATATGAAAAAATGTTCAACATCCCTTATAATCTGGGAAATGCAAATTAAAACCACATTGAAATACCTCCTTACACCAGTGAGAATGGCACATATCAAAAAAAAACAAGCAGCAACAAATGTTGGCAAGGATGTAGTGAAAAAGGAACTCTCCTACATTGCTCGTGGGAGTGCAAACTGGTCCAACCACTATGGAAAGCTCTGTCTGGAGGTTCCTCAGTCTGCTAAAAATGGAGCTACCATACGTCCCAGCAGTTTCACTCCTAGGGATCTGCCCAAAGGACACCTGTACACTTATATTTATTGCAGCACTATTTACAATAGGTAAAACCTGGAAAAACCCAAATGCCCAGCAATAGATGACTGGATCAAGAAGATATGGCATATATACACAATGGAATATTATTCAGAAATCAAAAAAGATAAACTCATGCCATTCGCAGCAAAGTGGACGGAGATAGAAGGAATTATGCTCAGTGAAATAAGCCAGAAGGAAAAAGAAAAATATTGCATGGTTTCACTTATAGCAGGAATATAGGTTCCCCTATATTGCCCCCAAATAAGACATCAGTGTAAAAAAATAATAACAGTACAAAACACAACAAAGCAAAAACAGACAAGTATAAATCAGAGACATACTGCAGGGGAGGAGGCAGGAGAGGGGTCAGATGAATGGAGGAGCACAGGGGACTGAGGTGATGGTGCACGGGTGTACTGGCGAAGGAAACTATATGGAGACTACACCTGAGGGGGTAGGGGAAAGCAAATATTGTTTAAAAATGAACAATGATGTAAAAAATAAAATATATTAAAAAATTAAGGAAAAAAGTAATCAAAAAATAATTGTTGGCAGTGACTTCAGAGAAATGAGTCTGTTAAAAAAAAACTTGGCATGAGCTTTAAAAAAAGATTTTTTTACCCACCTTCCTTTTTTTTTTTTCTTTGAATTTTTTTCCTGTATATTTTACATCATTGTTCCTTTTTCTTAAAGATTTATGCATCCAAGAACTGGGGTACAGGCCAGAGGTATTGGGGGTGTGAGAGGATTCACCAGAGACAGAGCAGGAAGCAGAACAGGCAGATGAACTGAAAACACTACTGAGGGGAGCAGAGGGCAAACCAGGAGAGGTCTGCTGCACCATGTGGGTAGCTCCCTGGCCAGGGATTGAACTCGTGCTGCAGTGGCTGTGGATAGCTTGATAGGCTGCATCTTAACCCCCAAGCCACCATGGAAGTCCTTTTTTTTTTTAAACAATGTTTGCTTTCTTTTCTCAGGTGTAGTCCCCAGAGAATTTCCACCACCAATTCACCTGTGCACCATCACCATAGTCCCTTGTGTTTTTCCTGCCCTCACTTCGGTCTCTCTCCCTCCTCTTTCCCTATAGAATGTCTCTAATTTATAGTTGTCTATTGTTTTGTTGTGTTTAAAAGATTATGATTACATAAAATTAAAAGCAAAAAGAAAAGAATAGTGGCCCAAAGTGCTTTGTCTTTAGACTTTTCAGACTTTGAACAAGTTTCAAACTCTATGTTAAGTTTGGGCCTCCCTGGTGGTGCAGGGGTTAAAGTCAGCACTATCAAGCTATCAGCAGCCACTGCCAGGGAGCCAACCCACATGGCGCAGCAGACCTCTCCTGTCTTGGCTGCTGCTCCCCTCAGCAGTGTATTTCAGTGGATCTGCCTGTTCTGTTCCCCACTCTGTCTCTGGTTAATTCTCTTACCGCCTTCCCATCCTCTCATCTCTGGCCTATACCCCAGCTCTTGTATGCATAGATAAATAAATCTTTAAAAAAATATTAAGTTTAATGTATAGGCGTTTAAGCACATCTTAAAACTAGGTTTCATAAATAGGAAACCCATTAGCTTGCTTCATATGGGCAAAAGTTTTAACAGAGGCGGTTACAGGAGTATTATAAAATAAAAGGAACCTAAGTCTCACAAGAAAATACAAATCATGTCATCACCGTTAATTCCCCTAGCTGATTAGTGAATTGTTTGATGACTCCCAAGTTGACTTGATGGGAAATAGGCACTCTCGTATCCCTTTGATAAGAGTTTAAAACAGCATAAGTTTTTGGAGAACAACTTGGCAATACTTATCAACATTTAAAAAGAAGACACTATTTAATCTAGAATATTATTGCTAGGAATTCTGTGGCTGTTTTTTTTTTTTTTTAATATACACAATTTTATTACAAATTTTTTTTAAAAAACCAAAATGTAACATTCTCAACAACCCAAAATCTTCTATCCATACTAATTCCTACAAGTTTGCTGTGCTACCAAACACAAGTCAAGAAATTAAAGAAACCATTAAATATTTAGAAGCATTCAACATCAGAAGCTTTAAAATCTAACTGTATGTAGTAGCCCCTCAAAAAGCTACAAACCTGCATTTTTAAAAAAGTATTTTCTCTACAAAGAATCTTTATCAGCTATACAAAAATCTGTACAGTTTTCATACTGAAGCTAATATTGAGCTGCACTTGAATTCACATTCTTAGCAAAACAGTTGCGGGAGCACACATGCACCCGCCAGGCGCATCATCACAGGACAGCCATTGACTCCTCATCTTCATCCTCCTCTTCCTCCTCGTCCTCATTTTCTGGCTCATTTTTCTTCTTCGAGCCTGTTGGCCTGCCAGGGCCCTTCTTTCCTGCTTCCCTCTTGCCCTGGGCGCGGTGCAGCAATATCCTTCTCATACTTCTCCTGCAGCTCGGCCGCCTTCTGCTCGTACGGCTGCTTGTCCTTGGCGGACTGCTCGGACCACATCTCGCCCAGCTTCTTGGCGGTGTCCCCGATGGACAGGCCGGGGTGCTCACCCTTGATCTTGGGGCGATGCTCGGAGCAGAACCGGAAGAAGGCGGACGGCGGCCTTTTGGGGGCGCTGGGGTCCTTCTTCTTCCCCTTCTTGTCGCCCTTGGGCGGCACGTAGTTCATCTCCCGCTCGTAGCGGGCCTTGTCGCTCTTGGCCATGTCCTTGAACTTGGACTTCTCCTTCGCGGACATGGTCTTCCATCTCTCCGAGCACTTCTTGGAGAACTCGGCGAAGTTCACGGACGAGTCCGGGTGCTTCTTCTTGTGCTCCTCGCGGCAGGTCTGCACGAAGAAGGCGTAGGAGGACATCTTGCCCCGCGGCTTGTTGGAGTCTCCCTTGCCCATGCTGGCGGCGGTGCGACCTGGGGCAGCTTTTCCTCAGAGTCCTGCCGAGCGGCGGCTCCACACGCGCTTCCTCCCGCGGGCTCCGGCGAGAACTGGTTATGTGCTGTTTTTTTTTTTAAGATTTATTTATTTACACAAGCACTGGGTACAGTCAGAAGCGCGGGAGGGTGAGAGAATTCACCAGAGCCAGAGCAGGGAGCAGAGCAGGCAGAAGGACCGAAGTACACTGCTGAGGGGAGCAGCGGGCGGCAGGAGAGGTCTGCGCGCCATGTGGGACCCTCGCCTGGTGGCCGGGGATCGAACTGGCGCTGCAGAGGCTGTGGGCAGCTTCGCAACCCAGCGCTCAACCGCTCCTCCACCGGGGAGGCCCTGGCTATGTTTTAAACTCACCTACCGAAATACACAAATTTATTTACTGAGGCATTTTCTATTATAGGGAAAGACTAAATTATAATTCATACCATATAGCACTGAAAAACAATGATGCGTTATGCTAATATCAAAACATATATGCATTTATTAGTATGTGAAAAGAACTGAAGAACACTTTGCAGAGTATAATTTCTTTTGTTTAAATAAAATTAAGAATATATATGCCTATATGTAAGTATATATAAAACTTTTTTTCCCCCAAGTTGTTCATTGTTATTGTCTGTTCCAGGTGAGAAGATGAGGCCTATCAAATGTGGGCATGTGAGTACAGAGACCAAAATGACTTATTTGTTGTTGGGAGGAGGGGCATATTTGATCCAAATCTTAACAAAGGAAACAAATTTCAAAGTCTTCCATCGAGACTGAGACTATGGTTTCTCTTTTTTAACTCTCCATTAAAATCTTTTTTAAATATTCACAAATATGTTCCTAACAGATTTAATCCCAGTGGCTCCAAAGTGGAAACAAGCCAAATGTCCATCAACAGTAGAATGGATAAATAGCTAGATATTCATGAATTTTCTACACAGTTGAAAAAAAAAAAGAGTAAGAATAAACCATTGCTGCCTGTAACAATACAAACAGAGCTCCCTGATAGACTGAGCCAGAGAAGTTAACTACAAAAAAGTTCATATGTTTGTATGTTCAAAAGCAGGCAAAACCAAGCTGTGATAGTAGCCACAGGAACAGAGGTAGGAGGTTATTAACTGGAGAGGGCATGAAAGAGATTCCAGTGGTGCTAGAATGTTCCATATCTTGTGGGTTCTGGTTATGCTTTCACAAGCATATATGTCTCCAGCTCCACTGAGGGTATGTGTACTTCATTGCATGTACATTGTTCCTCAATATTTTTTTCAACTTTTTAATGGATTTTTTCAGGCAGCAAAATTTTAAAAGAAATTTTAAACTTAATAAGGAGACTAAAGGGTGTGAGAGGATGAAAAATGAATCATAATCCCCAAGGACATCCTCATCCTAATCCCTAGAACCTGTGAATATGTGACCTTTCATGGTAAAAGGGATTTTGCAGGTGTGATTACCTAAAGGACAGGGACGTGGGGGGATTACCTCAGATCACCCTGCGTGGGTTTGTCATACCTACAAAGGCTGTAAGAGAGATATGGAGGAGTCAGAGAGAAGACCAAGCAATGACAGAAACAGAGATACTTGAAGCTGCTACTGTGTTAGCTTTGATATTGGAGGAGGTCATGAGCCAAAGAATTTATGCAAAGTAGGCTGAGCAGACAAGAGAGGGAAGCAAATTCTCCCCTCCCCACCCCACCCAAGACTCCAAAGGGGAACAACTCAGACACCTTGACTTTAGATTGGTGTCACTAATTTAGGACTCTGTCCTCTGGTATCACCAGGGAATGGATTTGTGTTTATGTCACTAAATTTGTGGTGACTTATTACAATAGCAAAAGGAAAGTAATGCAAAAGGAAAGATGATGAAACTCCAATATTCTTATTCTTTTGAATTCTTTGGTTTGTTTGTCATGGAGTCATAGAAAAGTCTTTTACTTAGTCACTTTTCATGTCAAAGATGATCTTCATACCAACAGAGGTATTGTTCCATCTTAAATGGTGCTGGCATTTCAGGCAAGGAGTAGCCAATACTTCAGGTCAATATACCTTATTCAAAACTAATAACATTTTTTTCAATTATAAAATTTATGTAAGATCTTTGTATAAATTAAACAGAGAAACCAAATCTCCCCTTCAACAACTGTGAGCATTTGCAATAGAAATTGTCTTAGGGTTGCTATGATTAACGCTTCACTGACAATTTTTGCCTTATTAGCTGGGATGCTAAGGACCATGTGGAAATTGGACAAAACACTTTCAGCTTCTACCTTGTCACTATTCACAGTAGTAGTTACTAGTCTGTGGAAACAAGAGGAGTGGCGGCATGGGCCTCCCCACCAAGCTGAAGGATCCGAATTCCCTGGGGCTTTGCCATGTTCAGCCGGTGTCCCCAGGGCATCCAAGTTCCACAGTACCACTGTCCTCTCTGTTTTCCATGCAGAAGATTGAACACATTTGGATGGGCTTTGAAAAATGGGTAGAGAGTGAGTGGTTCAAAAGTGAGAATGCCCAGTCTCCAAGTGGGCAGGCAAAAGCATGTTGCTGAAGCCGATGCTTCACGCAGTTGGGAATCTTGACATGTGTGAGTTGACACATGAACTTTTCTTTGTTACATTCTTTTGGCTGTTGCGGGGCAGAGGGGGGAGAGGCAGAGGAGAAAGAGCTCTGCTCTCTGGCAATCATCAAGATAGGGAGTGTAGGAGGGTAAAACGAGGAAAAGGGGACAATTGTATACTAAAGGATAGAACTGGACTTTTCAGCGTTGAACTTAATGCAGTAGATACTCATGTTGACATTTTACCACATCTGAACTTATATAATGTTACAATGCAATGTGATTTGAGTTTTTTTTTTTTTTTTTAAAAGGACAGAGGGTGTGAATGAAAAGCTTGGTGGTAAAGTTCCTATATGGGGTTCTGAAGGTGGGAAAGAATTTGGTGAGATGTACTCTGTGTGTGTGTGCGTGTGTGTGTGTGTGTTTTCATTTGCAGCCAATGAAAAACTAGTTGGTGTTCATTTGCTCTCCAGGTATTTTCAGAGGAACCAGTATTTATCCATCACACAGCTAGTATAGTAGCCTGAAGAAAAGCCCTCAGAAGATGGAGTGGTACATCCTCTTTTCACTCCAGAATTATTTCCTTTAACATACTCATCCCTCTGAGCAAGGCAGTGAACACACACAGCCCAGCCTGGGTCAGTACCCTAGCCACAGTGACTTAACATGACCCAAGGTCATCAGGAGCCTTCTCCAGCTTTCTGTAGAAACTGAAAGCATTTTTTTCATTTCTCACTTCTCAGGAGCTAAGCGATTGTGACTGGGAAGTGGTCAGTTGTCATTTCCTAGATAAATAGCAAAACCAAAGGCATAAAGCCCAGTGTAAGCTTTGTGAGCTGTGGTAGCCGGATTGTTTAAGAGGCACAGTCACTTCCAGACCCATTCATGCATGAAACCAGCTCCATTCTTCTTGTGGTTTGGTTACAGGAGCCCAAATTTCTCCTGTAAATGTTCGAGTTAATTCACTTTGTGTCTCTATCACTTTGAATGAAAAGAAAACTGAAAAATACAGTTTCGTGATAAAATATGACTGTTGCTGCTCTCAGGGGACATTTCATTAATATGGAAAAATAGGGACAATTATTGAAGAAAACACAAGTTAAAATATACTTTAGCAGGGCCTTCCTGGTGGCGCAGGGGTTAAAGCCTCAACACTATTAAGTTTTCGCCAGCTACTGCATCATGACTTCAATCCCCAGCCAGGGAGCTAACCCACATGGCACAGCAGACCTCTCCTCTCTCACCCACTGCTCCCCTCAGCAGTGTATTTCAGTAGATCTGCCTATTCTGCTCTCCACTCTGTCTCTGGTGACTCCTCTCACCTCCCCACACACACTTTTGGCCTGTACCCCAGTTCTTGTATGCATAAATAAATAAAAATAAATATTGAAAAAGTGATAAAATAAAATATACTTAAGCATTAAATTGAGGTTGTTGTATATACCTTACTGCACATATGTGTGCATATAAAAGTACATCTATTGCCAAATTTATGGGAAATGTGCTAGACTGGACAGTTGAATGATTTAGAACAGTGGCCAACTTTCAGTTCCCCCACAGGACTCAGAAACATCCAGCTTTTGTTTTGTAAAACAACTTCATATGATGAAAAATACTGGAATGGAAAAACATAGGCTTCATCGCCAAACCTGGGATGAAACCTGGGCTTACAATTTCTCAACTACCTGACTGTGTCAGTTTAGAAGTCATCATCTGAAAATACTGCCCCCCACTCAAAATACTTAGGACAATATAGAAAATTATTTTCTGACCTGATAAGTCTAAAGGTAGGGTAACTTCGAGGCTAGTTCATTCAGTGGCTCAATCATGCCATTAGAGACCCTGTTCTCCTGTTTCTCTGCTTTGCCATTTTGGGTCAAATGACTACTGTTTGGGTCAGATGACTGCAGTCATTCCAGGTATCACATCCAGGAAAGATCAAATCCAGAGATGCTGTCTTTTGCAGTGTCCCCTCAGTAGTTTGAAACCTTCCTTAGAACATCCAACTCCCAGCAACCTACCCTGCTATCCCATTAGGGAAAACGGAGTCACATGTTAACCCCCTAATTAATCACTGACCAAGGAAACTACTCTCCCCTGATTGTCTTAAATTAATCAGGGCTTAAACTTGGAATGTGAGCTAGGATTACCTTCTTTTGAAGCACAAGACGGGGTTTGTGATATATCAACACCATTGAGACTGCCAGCAAGGAAGAGGTGAGATGGAGGGTGATTTGGTAACAATTAGTTATTGAGGGAGTGATACAGGGCAGTTGCAACCCTCTCTGAGCCATTGTATTCTGATTTGTAGACTGTAATTCAAAATATCTACCTTATAAATCTGTGAAGAATAAATGTGATAGCAACTTGCTTAGCACTTAGTAAATATTGAACAAGTGTTCACTTTCCTCTTTGCCTGGTCATTCAAAATTATGTGTGGCTTCAACACTAATGATAAAGGACTGAACACAAAAATCTACAAAGAGCTGATGAGACTCAACAAAAACAAAGAAAATAATCCAGTTGAAAAATGGGCAGTGGGCAAAAGAGCTAAAAAGAAACTTCTCTGAAGAGGAAATGCAAATGGCCAACAGGCATATGAAAAAATGTTCAATATCACTTCTAATCAGGGAAATGCAAATCAAAACTACCATGAGATACCATCTTACACCAGTGAGAATGACACATATTAAAAAAAACTAGCAACAACAAATGTTGGCGAGGTTGTGGAGGAAAAGGAACTCTTCTGCACTGTTGGTAAGAGTGCAAACTGGTCCAACCACTATGGAGAGCTGTGCGGAGATTTCTGGACCTACTAAACATAGAGCTTCCATATGATCCAGCAATTCCACTCCTAGGTATTTACCCAAAGGACACATAAACATCAATTCCAAAGAGCACCTGCACCCCTATGTTTATAGCAGCACTGTTTACAAGAGCTAAGCTTTGGAAACAGCCCAAATGCCCAAAAATAGATGACTGGATCAAGAAGATGTGGTACATATACACCATGGAATATTCCTCAGCATTCAAAAAAGATAAACACATGCAATTTGCAGCAACATGGATGGCGCTGGAAGGGATCATGCTCAGCGAAATAAGCCAGAAAGAAAAAGAAAAA